CCAATCCATTTTTACATCCCAAATAAATGTATATATAGAAGAAATTATTTGAGATGTGATCCAAAAACTATTTATGACAAAATCGTCAGCTAAAATTTTGCAAAAATTTTGTCATGTTAAATTATAATCATTATAACAATTCAACAATATTAATAAAATACCAACCACCATTTCTTAGTCGGAACCAGAAAAGAACTACGGAGATGATGACTGACAAATATTTAAACATATTGATTAAATGTATCACTTCTTTAGTATCAAAAAGACGCTTTAAACATTGCAATATACGCAACGTTTGCGGGACAGAGCTTATAAAAGGCTGCGCGATAGAACAAGGAGAAACACTAGACCCGCAAAGAGGTAGTTGTACGGCAATAAAAGTATAAGATATGCTGTTCAATACATCAGCAAGAAAGAAATCTCGAAATTCCACACCAACCCAAAAGGGCGTTACCATACGACCCTACCAAAAATAGAACGAATATATTAAAATTCATGTACGAGTCACATTAACCTTAATATTCCATTAAATAAATATTTTCATACCAGAGTAATAGTGAACCAGCGTCTTGCATTATAATGAAGTATACGAATAGGACAGAACAGAGTAACAGCAATGACGACAAATGCTACAACTAAATATACGTTTACATTGTTAACATTAAATAAATTGGTACAATCCGAATACATCATAAAACTAATAAATAGAAATATAAGCGAAGGAAGCTGTTTTTTTTAAAATAATAATAATAATAATAAATAATAACATAGTATTAATATATTTTTTATTTTACTTTATTTTTATTTATTCAATTTTTTTTTAATGAATAATATTAAGAAACTTTACCTCCAAATATTGATAGATGTCCAGATTATCTCTCGGATCAAGTTCGAATATAAACTTGTAGTTTACATGTGTTTTAGTCCATAAAACCATAGCAATGCCCATAAACAGAGCGAAAATTGTCGGGATAAGTAGTCCTATATAGAACCGTAAATGCAACTGATCAAACACAGTATTGTGAAGCATCATATACCATAAAGAAAATGCTGATCCTAGAAATAATCCCGATCGTAATGCGGCAGTATGGTATGTCTATTAAAACATATTTGAAATATAAATTTATACTATGTTCAAGTCGATGATCTTAAAAAATGAACATGACATACGTTTTTTTGATTATGTGATCTAAGTCTTTTAATTGCTTGTTTTCTTGATTCTTCGAAATGCTCACTGTAAAAAGTCTATAAATAAAATTATATAAAAATTTTTTCTATAATCAAAAAAAAAATCAGAACCATTACAAATTTTACCTCTATTTCTTTCATTAGCCGGTCCAATCCTCTGGACTTTATAAAACTACGTTCAGAAACTCTCTGCATATAAATTTCACCACCATTTATTCCCGCTAACTTATCATATTTCTTTAGGATCTCGGCGAAGCCTTTTTTATTAAGTTGCTAAATCGATTTGAAGGAATAGTTAATAATTTAAATTTAAATGAATTAATTGTAATAAAATAATAAATTATTTTATTACTCGATAGTTTTTTAACAAATCAGCTCCTCGATATAATTCGAACGCGGCTTTTTTTATTTTTTTTTTCGCGTTTTTATACTTGGAACTTGGAAGCTGCGGCTGTTCTTCTTGAAATTCTATGACTGATTTTCTTAGGAGTTTGGTAGCCAAATCTCCAACAGACTAAAGCAAAAAAAATAAATAAATAATAAATAAAATACAATTATTTGAAGAAGTCATGTACTATTATGACTACTATATCACGTAACATTCCATACCGTCATTCTTTTTACTTCTCTTCTATTTTCACCTGAATTTTTTAGACTTTCATGATAGTTCTTTAACTTTTCGAAAAGATAGATTACTTCACCTTCTTTTCCTATTTTTCAACTTAACATTAAGAATTATTTTTATTTATAAAAAAATTTATTTTATGTACTTACTTGTATAAAAACGAGTGACCTTTTCTAATTCCTTATCTAACATCAAAAAAAATGCGGATTCTTCAGGGCTCGATTGTTCCAGCAAAGATTCAATGGACGTAATGGGTTCTCTTGTAG